TATATATATATATATATATATATATATATATATATATATATTCAAAAGACTGATATCTAGGTTGGAAGAATATAAATCTACCTCATGTTTTGTCTTCTGATTCATGCTTTGAGCAAGGACACTGTTCTGTGTTCATTTGTGATGCTCTATCACACTATGATCATTACACTTTATTTCCGTGATACTCATGCATAATAAAAATGAAAACATACATTAGAACACACATATTATGATTGCAAAAAAGCTAAAACAGTAGGCAATTGATACAATAACAAGCTAATATTTAGTAAATTCACTCGAGTTTAAGGAATAATTACACAAAATTTGATTCCATTATAGACACAGAAAATCATAAATGTGAATTTATTTTAATTACAACATTCACTCTTAAAAACTTAGAAAAGGACTGAACAAAATGATGACATGTTAATACCATTTGTGGATTTTTTGAAGATATATAAAATAGCATTGATCAACTCTAGATCTATCATTTATTTATTCTGTTACGACTTAAAATTTGAAATTACAAAACATAAAAACTCAACAACATAATATTTTGTTTTTAAACAATAATCTATCAAACTTGCACTATGAAGTGCAGAAAAAAATAGTCGACAAATTAAATTATACAAACAAAGCACAAATAACAAAATAACAAATGACATATCAAATATTTGAGCTTACTCGATTTGGTAACAGAGAACTGAGACAATATAGACCTTATTTGCTAAGTTGGAGGCAGGAACGTGGGAGAAGTTAATCCTCAGCTTTCAAATCTTCTCGAAGGTGCTCGGAAGCGGTGACCGACTCAGTCACAAAATATGGAATGCAAAACATTAACATTTAATTAAATTGTTATTTGTACTAATTAAAAGAAACTCAAATAATGTAAAATATACAAGGGAGTGCAAATTGATATACAAATTTTGTATGATGTTTTATACTTTCTTCTTTTTGAGATAAACATTTTGTACATCAATGTTTTACACAAAATAGCAATAAAGTAATCAACAATACCCATCAATGGCTCGGTTTTTCAAATTTCAAAGTTACCAAATGGTACATTTTCACAGATGACCTGTACGAATCCTCCATATTCATCTGTAGATCATTTTTACAAATTTAACAGAAGACATATACTTAGTACGAATATTAAGATGACATACTCAGGAACATATTCAAGCAATACCGAACGATGCAAACATTAACAAAATTAAAATTAAAATCTAAATCTTAGATGCATGAACACATATATATNAAAAAAAAAACAGAAACGACAGAAAATCAGTGTTACCTTTCTTCTGGTTCCGGTTAAAGGATGATATCACCGCGGTTGGGGGTGAGATTGATTCTTCAAAAACGGAAGTGTTACAGTCGGATTGACTCGAAAATTCGTGCTTGAAATCGTGAACATCGTCAATATCATACAATTTAAAGGCGAATCACGGATCTTGAATGTTGTGGTGTAGATCTAATGGTTTTGTCCAATATCGGAAAGTCTACAATTTGTTTTTTTTTTTTTTTCGAATTGGTAAGAGCATTTCGGGAGAGTATGAGATTTTGGAAATCTACTAACCGTCTCAATCCGATTTTTTGGTTTTCATACTCAATTCAAAGTCATCGCAACCGTTCATTTTAGTTGACTTATTGTAGGCCGTTCATTTTTCATGTTTGTCTGGGCCAAGTGGTGGGCCGACTTTATCTAAAATAGGCTGAAAGTTTTTATCTGGGCCAAATTCGTTTTAAATGTTTGTCGGGCCCACTTGAAAATAAACCAACAATCCATTTTTTTGATATTATTCAGCCCAATTTCTTAAATTCATATAATTTACATATTATATGTTAAAGTATTATACTATTATTATTTATAGCTAATATTTGTCATTAATATAAACCAAATATTATTTAAATATAAAAAAATAAAACCATACTTATCCTTTTGGCATACATCGATTTATACTAATGTAAATTACAACTTAATGTAATAAGTTTGTTTTATTATAATACTACAAACATTTGTAAAATTATTAATTATTTGATTTGAAAATTTTAAAACTTATAAAACAAAAAATATGAAAAACTATAAAGCACTTTTATAATTTAATATTAGATTGATATAAATATATAGTTATTGATTAAGTATATTCTTCATATTCATCTTTACAAGTTGTATGATGTCATCTGTTGTTAATGCACGTGCAACCTTACTGATGTCACGACCAATTATACGTAACTGTTTTCCGTGTCACTAATCGAAAGGGGTTGAAAATTTTAGTTTCTGGTGAGGATAGTTTACATACAAGGCAAAAAGAAAAATGTTGTGTACAAAGAGGTGTTTAATAATGTATAATATTGTTTCTATTTGTTTTAATTTTTTATTCACAAAAATAGTTATTAAAAAAGTTTGAGCAAATAGCTTTAAAATTGTTCACCCCGTGCATCGCACGGGATTCATACTAGTATACAATTGAAGGGGCTAGATTATTTACTTTTTAAAATTGCGTTTATTAGATTGGATGTAATGTATATTTTGATATATATATTTTTTTTTGAATTATTTATTATTTCTTTAGGAATTTATGTTGTTTTATGAAATTTAACAACTCAAATAAACTAAAGCAAGGTGTAATTAAAAGGAAAAAAAATGTAAATTTTTGTATTATTGATGATTTTGTGACAGTACAGGAAGTCAGTTTTTGAATGCAACCGAGATATTTTACTAGTCCGTGTACAATGTGCGTAAAAAGATCCCCCCATAATCATAAATTCTGCTATTTATAGTGCGGTGATTTTGACTTTTCATACGAGTTAGATTAGATCGTATTTAATGTTGAGCTGCTTCATTTAAGCGGTCTGTTAGGCGACGAGGGGACAACAATGATTGCTTTTGGATTAGGTGGCCCAATCAGGAGTTTATTGTGTCACCAGCTTTGGAATTTCAGTCATCTCGGATCTCGGTTTAAGTGGATAATCTCTAGAAAAGAATATTCGTGAAGTCGGTTTAGAGTCTTTGAATGAGTCAGTTGTCATTCGGCTGTTCAAGGTCGGTTGTCGTTTGCTTGTGCCGAGCTGAACCAAGTTAGCCGCCGAAAATAAAATTAAAGGATCATTAAGAAGATAATATAATTAATCCCTCAATTAATCTTAAAAATCAAGTCGGTCTTCAACAGAGAGGCCCCCGACATCAGTAGGTGTTTTAGTTCTAGAATGGCTGCTGATGTCGCCAATATTTTTCATAAATCCGACTTGATTCTTTTTTGACATGCTTTATAATTACCGACGTCTTTTTGTAACCGACATACGAACACTTGGCGTTTGTTGATCGTTTATTGACGAAGGAAGAATACCATATAACGGTTATGCAGACGTGACAATTCTTAAAAGACGTGTCTGCATTTAATGGGTGCAACGGACAGGAAAATAGGGTGACGTGGTATCTTGAGACTAGCCCACGTATATTAATAAATTTTACTCTTTGTTTGTTGTGCAGAGGAAAAACAAATGGTATAAACGTACTTGGACATAGTCTGAGTATATCTCGGATTTTATCAGAGCATTGGCTAAGTTGCAAAATACACCAGTCTGAGAAAAACCCGTCATAAAAAAAATTAGACGAGGAAAAAAAAGGAACAAAAAAAAAGAGAGGTGAGGGTCTGTTTATTATTCACAATGTATTTTTTTTTTTGGGTTATTGTATTAGATTAAAGTTAACACGAATTTTCCAACCTTACATTTCATTATAAGAAAAAATTGATATTTAGAATCAATGAGGAATGACCCATATGCCAGAATTTAAGCAAAAGAAATAAAGACTCACAAGATTATTAATGTTTGAAAATGAATAAAATCCTAAACAACTCTACACCGCATCAGATGCACTTGACTATAAATATCGATCATTTTAAACTGTCCGAATTCAAAAAATCCAAACGAAATAATAAGAGACAAATTATATTTAAAGTGTCTTTTCATGAAAATAAAGATGCCTTCAAAAAGATAAGCATTAAAGGTGTTGTTAAAAAACCAAAGGAAATTTTACTTACACCACAAAGAGGAACTAAAGCAGTACCAGTATGAGGTCCTCCAAGAGATACAAAATTCCTTACCTGACAACAAAAATAAAAAAATAATAATAATAAAAATAGAAAAAAAAATTACAATGACATCAATAGGTCGATTGAGATAAATCTCCATAGTTACATACATCATGTTTAATGACAAGGATTTAAAAGCTTATTATATCATTTTATTACAAGATTGTATCTGCTATCACAAGGACATCACAGAAAAAAATTGGACAAAGTACAAAAGTTATACAAAAACTTCATATACATAGTTCTTACCGGTGGTCCACCATCACAGAACTCTACAACACCTCGTCCGATTAAGTTTCCCTAGATNACACCTGGGCAAAACCAACAATGTTGTAACCCTCGTGCAGTTCTTGCATTTGCTTCACCTGAATTTAATCCTGAACATTCAGAAAGCAACCGGCTAACCAAAGTGTTCAAATAATCGAATAATTTCGTCACTCACCTTATTGCATACGATTTGAGTCTGTAGGTAAAATGAAAGAAAAATAAAATCAGCCTCACTCGAAAAAAATAAAATAAATCAATCAAGGGATAAAACCGAATTAAGATTGTGGACTGCTCTCCCCTTACCTGATCCTGTAAGGGCTTAAACCAAGAATCCCAATATACATCTCCAACTTCCCTAGAGTTTTGAAAATATAAATCGACAAAATTTTATATCATAGTGGATAAGGTGTTACATATGTTCCAATCACCTAAATATGAAATATTATAGCCCCCAAATGAACAAAACTGTCTAAGAAGATTATAAAAACTCTCTACTCTCTAGATTCCATTTTTCTACACTTCAAAATAAATGGCCTTACTTTTCATTTGCATATATGGCTACGAATGCGACACCTTAGTTTTACGTCTACATCCCTCATAATGTCCATCGAGAAAAACGAAAAAAAAAAAAAAACATAATTGGAAAAAAAATCACTACTCAACAATTAAGGTACTGAAAGTGGTTGAAAATGACAAAGTTCACAAATTCGAGAAACATAAGGTAATATGTAGGTGCATAACAGAAAATGATAAAAAAGCTAAAAAGCACATAAAAGATCATACATCTATCAGTTTTTTTTTTTCTTTCCAGTGGAATAAAGATTAATCATGAACAGACTTGCTTGTGACAGTAAATCTGACTAAGAGGGCCACTTATTGATTAAAAAGGGTAACTTTAGACCTTCCATTGACATATACTCAATTTCTCTTCTTCTCCAGACAACATGAAATTGACATAATATGCCAATAAAAAACCAAGATTTCAATTTCCTTTTCACACTGTAATAAGTTCTTACAAAGAAAGAAGGTAACGAAATAATATTACACGCAAAACCCTTCAGATTTAGAGAAGTCGATAAGATCCTGCGTAAGGCTCTTCACTCCTCTGCTCGAACACTGATCTCCAATTCCTATTACAACCAAATAAAATGTAAAACAATAAATAAATAAAGATAAAGAATCCCATTAGCAGTAAAAACTTAAAGAAACACAAAATTAGCTTCAACAAGGGCGAAAATGAAGAAAAAATAGGGAAAATGAAAAACGCTACCATGGAGAAGAATGAAAGGCAAAGAGACTGAAAATGGGATTAAGGAAGAGGCAAATAAACTGAAGATTAACGAGGGTATAGTGAAAGATGATAGAAAAGGAGACATTTTTTACTTTTGGGTCTGATTTGATTCCAATTTTTTCCTTGTGGGGTTTTTGCCTCTTGTCCTTCCGAGAGTCGTATGGAAACTAGATTGAGTGATTGGAAAGAGGAGAATGACATTTAATGGCCGGCGGTAGTTAGCAAACAGCATTCAGTGCTCGGGATTGGAGAATTTGCTTTCATACCGGCGAGATTAATTGCATAATGGGGGTGATTAGCCACGAGTTTCTTGAATAACTGTGGATGTAATAAGAATTTGTTTAGTGGAATAATGGTTTTTTAGTGGCCAATGTGATAAGTTCTTGTTCCTCTCAAATGGTCAACCTTGTGTTTATATTACTTAAACGAAACGAGTGCTTGTGAGGTCAGCTCGACTCGAGCTTGTACTCAAGCTCGAGCTCACTTAAAACTTGTTTCGTTAACAAATTGAGCTCGACTTGACTCGATAAATCTCTTTAAGATTTGAAAAGAGAAATTTTATATAATTTTCTATATTTAGCTCATTAAAACTCGAGATCGACTAATATTGATAAACGAGTCGAACTCGAACTCGATTTTCGACGCATCAGGGGCTCGAGCTCGGCTCATTTACCTCTGCATCCTTCTAGAGATTTTAAAATAGGAAGACTAGATATTTCTTTTATCTTTTAATTATTCTGTTTGATACTTTCTCTAGCCTTATTAAATATAAACCGACATGGAGAGGAAATAAATATTGTGGGTTAAAAAAAAACTCCATATCCCCGACTTACTTGGGACTAAAGGCTATGTTGTTGTTGAAAAAAAAAACTCCATATCTTCTTTTGTAAGGTAGATGTTAAATCACACTAGAATTTATCAAACATGGTCTATAAAAGTATTGTTTATGACTCAAATTAATGAGTGAATTTTGACAAATCTTCATATTTATTTTTACTTGGGTTTGCGTGTGATAATGGGGAGGAGTAACTAGTGTTGATGTTTCAATTATGTTTGTGAGATTGCTGGGAATAAGATTCAGAACTGAAAGAATAGCCTTTTCTTAATGGGGCTTTAAATAGATTTTTTTATAATTTGTGGTGAGTTTTCTATCTTTAGATGTGATGTTAATAAGGTTTCGCTGGTTAAAGCAATTGTGGAGATTTTTTTCTACTCGCTCATGAAAGGAAGATATGTTTGGTACTTGCGAGTGAAATTTAATTATCAAAATATCCGTATCTCTATTTTTTCTTTTNTCCGTATCTTTTTTTCCAATTTTTTTTTTTTTGGGTCCTCCGCGTGTGAGCATTTGATGTGCTATGTGTACCATTAAAAATCATGTTTCTCATGGTACCAAATCCTAACAACTCGATGAATGATTCTAATGCAATTAAATTTGTAAATGAGTTAAGTTGAGCTCAAATTTGGGCTCTAGTCTTCATCAACTTTAGCTCTTTAATTAGTTGAACTAGTAATCAACTCGTGCATTTACACGGAAGGCAAAATATTAAGAGATTAAACATTGTAAAATTAAAATGCAAAGTAAAAAACATAAGTTACTCCATGAAATTCAAGAATTAAGAAAAGAATTCTAAATATTATTAAAAATTTCTTTATGTACAACGTTTTTGATTTTCTATCATCAGAATTTCCATCGCTACAAATTATTATCCTCAAATTGTTCCGATTTATAACTCTATAAAGAACTACGTACAACTGTTCATGACTAAAAATGGGGTTGTTTAGTACTAATCCCACGTGCGGCAGAGACCGATTTTGGCTCTAGTTGATTGTCATAGTATAAAAAACCATGACATAAAACTTTTTGCGCTGAAATTTGAACGGTACTCTAAAGTCGGAAGGTATGATTGAGTAAATTATGGTTCTCAATAAGTAGTTATTCTTGATTTAATTTTTCAATTAAATACATGTGAAATTTGTTAGATTTACAACACAATAGTCAAAGTGATAAATTGGGCATTAAAAATTGGACTAAACTCATGCAAATGGTCACTTATTCATCAGTTCTCCCTTTCGAAATATGCATTTTGTAGAATTCATTTTTACTTTTACATAACATAAAGGAAATTAGAATAAAAAAAATGGAAGATTATAAAATTAATACAAAGTGTAACACATTTCACATTAAAAGTTGTTAGAAAATCATTCACCAAAACAACTCGTAACGAGTCGAGCCAAGTTCGCGTTTCATGTGGACAGCACCAACAAAAAAAAAAAGAGTAAACAAAAGGCACCAACAACAAGACAAAAATCCCATCATACCATATTAACAATAAGAGACAATCCCAAATCAGAGCTAATCCCACTCAAGCTGTAGTCAGAAAACGTGTTTTCCTATTTTAGAGCATAAAAACCCAGTAACTAGCAAGATAAAGAACCAAGTTTGACAAATACCAGCCAGAAAAGATAAGAAACCAATCATGTTTTCCAGCAAGCAAATCAACTAGACGAGTTTAGAACCCAATTTGCAGCAAAGGAGGCTGCACCAAGAAAACATTTGGGACGTCAGTCAATATGAATTGCAGCTGTTGCCCAACGCCCCAGCCGTTTAACTGCATGCAGAGGCCCCATAAACCCGTCCACAAAAAGACTCTCCCATTCTGCCGAATTGAAGCTTTCACAGTTCTCAGGCCAATCGGGGTCACAAAGGTTAGGTTCTGAAGGTGATCGTTGGGCGGAAAGGCTACGAAGGCGGCCACGACGGCCGGTAGCTCAAGGTTCCTTCCATCGCTTACCGAAAGTGTCTTCTCAAACAACACGTTGATTGGGACTGCATCAGCAGCAGCAGCAGCAGCTGCCATTGTGCCTGCAATAAAACCAATCATTAACAAATTGACCAGCCCTATAGTTCATATTCTACCAAGATTTGACTGTCAGTAAAAGATGTTGAATCATTTAAGTTCATAGTTCATAAGATGTTGAATGATTTAAGTAAACCAGATTATAAGGAACCCATAAGTTTCTCTCTAATAAATATACATACGTAAAATGACTCTACCTCACGTCTGTGAGGTTTACCTAATTACAAGTACCCCTACAGGTGTTCCAATGCTAACAATCTTAATAAATATCCCTCTTTTAAAATCACTAAAATGTAGGATATTGTCCCATCAAGCAACGTAAATGACCATCTGACACCTTAGCTAAAACAAGTATCATGCTCACAAGCCGCAACTAGTTTAGCATCATCCTTGCCTGCTTCTGCTCACTGAATTTCTCCCTACCGAACCACCAACCCTAATTCAATCCTTCTAAATTCCAACTATACGAAAAGGTTAAGCAAGTCGATAAGCATACCTTATGCTAGTGTCTGAAATCGTTGAACCTGCACACAACACACACACACACACACACCCAACACACAATTAGTAACTTTCAGAAGAACAGCTAGAATTACTACCAGCATTGCATGCACAAAGTAAATTGAATAGCTCGGTAAACAGGAAAATAAGTAAGGTCCAAGTTAACGAGAACTGAAACCAATCAATAACACAAACAATAGCACTGCAAGGGACGGGCGTACACAGCACACAAATCCAATTGGGGAATAAGGTATAGTTATGAGTTGAAATTAACTTGTTCTTGTACCAGATTAGTGCAGAATATATACATAAGAATAACCAACAGACATGTGTTCAGAGACTCAGAGTCCATCCATACCTTATGCTAGTGCTAGTGTCGTAACCTGCATACACCACACACACACACACACACACACAGAGAGAGAGAGAGAGAGAGAGAGAGAGAGTAAGTGACTGGTTGCAAAAAATACTGGATCTCTCTAGTATAACAGGGGTAAGTTTGAGTGTGTGTTTATTATGGAAAAGTTGAAATACAAACTACGAATTCTCTATTCAAGAGCAAAAACGCACAATCCACACATAGGAAAACAAAATCGAAGAACAGATAATAGATGTAATAGGAAAACAATAGGAATAGAGCCAACAAAATAGCGATCATCAACACACACACACACACACAGAGTAAGTCTACGAATTCTCAATTCAAACACACAAAAAAGCACAATCCACAATAATAGGAAAATAAAATCAAAATCGAAGAATAGGACTAGGTCGAATCAAAATCACCATCGCGGACAAAAGAACAGGTAAGAAAATTCACGAATAAATAAGATAAGAAGAAGAAGATGATCAGAATCAGAACAATAAGAAGAAGAAGGAGAAGAAGAAGAAAAGAAAGAAGAAGAAGGAGAACAAGAACAAGAAAAGGAATGAGAGGATACCTGCAATCGTGCGAAACGTCGTGAAACGTGATATGGAGTGCTTCTTATATAATGTATGGGGTTTCTAATTTCTCAGGCTCTAAGGGATTGTGAGAGAATAACCCGCCTTTCAAATTCATCTGAAAAAAAAAAAGAAAAAAAAAAATCGTGTAGGACGAGTGCGAAGGGGTTTTATTGGGGCTCGGTGGCTGATGTCGAGAGGGAAATCTCTATTATCCGGCTGCATGGCTTGCTTTATGAATTTTTTTTGGTCTTTGCAGAGTTTAAGATCCGGCTTTGCTTTTGTGCCCATTTGTTTGTGAAGGACAATGGGAAATGCACGTTTCAGGAGGAATATTAGTAATTGGATACAGAGTTTAGGTAAAGCTTATCAAGAAACAAAATGGATTGGCTTTAATTTGAGAGTCTCAGTTTTTCAGTCCGTTATTTTTCCCTCCCTTCTTTTCAGTCGCTTTTCCCTCCCTTTTTTTGGGAAAAAATTCAAAATTTGTCTTATATTTGGCCAATATCCAAAAATCCACCCGACCATTTTCAAACTGAGTGACAATTTAATTAATTTTGGTCATTTTTTATCCGGACACTAGATAAAAACGTGACGTGACATGACGTGACAATTTTTTATGTGACATGGCGTGAAATGACAGCTTTATTTGTATTTAATAATTAGGTGGAAAACAAAAATTAAAACTAAATAACAAAAAATTAAAATTAAGTGGAAATAAAAAAAAAAACGGCAAGTGGTCGCGGAGTAAAAAAAATGAGCGAACTTCCACGGTGAGGGAGCAAGGCTCGCCGTAGGTCGGTTGCGGAGTAAAGCTCGCTCTCGCCGGAGGTCGGGTCGCGTCGCGCTGGCCAGAGGTCATGGTCAGGCCGCGCTGTGGAGCTCAAGATCGCCGGATTGAACTGGTGGCTCGCAGAGAAGATGACCGGAAACTTCGTTGCCCGAAAAAAATTCATCGGTTCTCGCAACGGTGGACGTTACTAGATGCGGCTCGGCGAGAGGAGTTTCGAGGTACCTTCGGATTCTCGTGGGTCAAAGCGAGTCACCGGGAATTTGAAAAAGAAGGTCGGAAAATTTTTGTAGATCTACAAGCTTTGGCCGGAAAATTTGAAAGCCTTACCGTCGGAATTTTTATTTGAAATTTCGATATGTTGTTGGCCCGAAGAAGAGCTACAAGATGACGTAAAAATATTTTAAATTTGGCGAGTTTGGCCGGAGGCAGGCGGCGGCGAGAGGTGACAGGCGACGGCACGGGGGAGGGTGACGGCAGCGTAAAAATAAGTTAGAATTATAAGGACTTATCTTGGAAAATTTAACAAGTTATATAAACTATCTTGTAATTTTAATATTTTTAATTAATTGCACCTAAGTCTTAAATGACGTGGATCATTGATTTTTGAAGTCAAAGTTTTCTAATCCCGCATAAGTCACAATCATACCACGTCATGCCACGTCACGTTTTTATCCAGGATCCGGATAAAAAATGAACAAAATTGATTAAATTGTCAAATTATTGGACCCAGTTTGAAAGTGGTCAATATCGGGGTGGATTTTTTGACAGTGGCCAAATTATAGGACCAATTTTAAATTTTTGCCCTTTTTTTCTCCCTATTATTTTATTTCTTATTTGCCTTTGTACATAATTAATACATGTATTCCGTGAAACAAATTTTGCATCTGACCATTTGGCTTCCTTCGCTGCGGATGGTTCGATGGGCATCACGTTTTACATGATCTGCCGAATGGGGTTTGTCAGTGGTCCACCATGATTTTCTTGGCATAGCTTATACGCAGGCCGTGTGCAACTAAGCCGATAGGCGTTGGCCTATTTCTTTGTACCAAAAAAAAAAAACTAAAATGGGAATATTGTAATTATTAAACTAGTAAGTTATCATAGCAACTAATCTTTGAATGGTCTTAATTTTTTCAATTGATTTGATTTACTCAATAAAGCTAGTCAAAATTGAAATTCAAACGAAATTTAAATTTAATTTTTAGTTTATGGTTGATATGAGTTAAAAACATAATGATTAAAATTAATGTCATGTGGATTAGGAGGTTGGTTCAAGAGCAAACGACGTATGTTAGGCAACTTTCGCTACTCATGTAGCCATATCGAGGTTCAATTTCTCCTTTATGAGCGGAAACTTTGGCGATCCGTTACGGTTCGCGTTTTGCACTGGTCGGACTTAAACTTTAGACTATTATGACAGACTACTCAGGTGTTGTAGGTGGTATACTTCACTCGAATGTATTGGATCCCCTCTTTGAGTTGTTTGCTGATTTCGAATTGTGGTACGTGTTTCATATCTCATGAAAGAATAATGTCCAATATAATATTGCTAATTGGGCGGTTGTATCAATATTTTCTAACTAATGGAAGGATTCCTATCATGTTTTGTTTTCTTTTCTTCTATAATGTACTCTGAAGTTGCTTTAATGCAATTCTCTTATTAAAACAAATGTGATGTAAGTGTAGTAAAATAATGATTGCAACTGATTGGTAGTTATACTTAGTTAAAAGTATATGAGTAGATGAATAGTGAATTTTGTTGCAAATTTTGTCATAAACATTGACTAATACGACACTCATGTATTGCACTTGTTGTTTGAAAAAAAAATAAAACATAAAATCATAAAAAATAGATGTTGCCATACAAAAGTACAAAAATAAAACATAACAAATTCGATATTATTTCAAATTCTAAAAAAAATTCTTTGTACACGACATTAATAATTTTATGTACAATTTTTCCATCTTTTTCGCTACACAGAGTTTTCAAGTCTCTCCTACTTGTAACTCAGATAATGCAACATAAAGTTGAGCATGACTGAATATAGGATTAGGCAAATACAATCCGACATTAATTAGACAATGTATGTCATTGACTCTTATTAATAGTCATTGCAAAACAAACTATAAGTGGAAACTGTTTTCGTTGAAACTTGAAAGACAATCTCACACAAGGACTCAATAGCATCTGCATAATAAGTGTTTTGCTTCTAATATTCCTTCCTGATAGAACCTCAGTCTCAATAATGGGATCTCCAAGTCGAGTGATGGCTAACCTGGTGCCATTATACAACCCATAAAACAAATAATGGTTCGGACTCGGGGTCATCATAAAGAAGTAGTGAAAATGAAGACTAGGATTCGGCTGCCAATGTTGGTTGGTAGCGGGGATTTTCTCGAGCTTGCATTCATTAAGCTTTCTCGCCAAAAAGGTAGATAATAAATTAGTTAAGATTTAAGAATAATAAATGCCAGAAAAATAAATAATGGTCGAGTTATGAATCACATGGTGCCATTACACAACCATTTTGCCATAAACTCAACACACACATCCCTAGTAAGAGCACTATATTTGCATTTATTATATCACAAAAAGAAAAAAATATATATATATGTTTTTCCAATCACCCACCCAACAAACAACAAAGATAAATTAATTGAAAACATGGAAATGCATGTGACTGAAATATGTCAATGAAAACCTATAATATTCTTAAAAAATCTGGGGGAAACTTTCCACTCAAAAGCTTGACACCAATTGTGCAACATAAACCTTTTGATAACCACCACATAATTTCTAATTTGAACTGCGAATGTAAAATGGTACAGCAAAAGTAGTTTATTTCACGCCAAATAAAATGTGGTTTTTATATAACACCATACATATACCACATGGTCCACATGTGGAATGAAAATGACGAAAATAACTCAATTTTCTTCTGGTTAATGAAATATAACCTAGCATTGTTAAAAAGGTGGTGGTCATGACTCTCAAATAGATTGGAAATAAATATATCATGATCCAAAATATTAAACAGGCTAGGTCAACATAATAAAATGCAAGTAGATTGAAAAAACAAAAAACCTAAGAAAGTCCTAAACTCTTAACAACAACATATAGCATTGCATAATATAACTCTAAGGCCGAAATGTGGAATGTGGAACACTCATTTTATTTTATTTTTCTTAATTTTTACAAGGAAACTGTTGTATTTTGAATAATCGTATGATACAAATTACAAAACACTCCACAACTACTTGGACGTACGGTAAATTGTTTGAAAAACTAGAACATGCTTGGATACAAAATTTTCTCAAAAAAATCCAAACATTTTTAACTCAACCATTTTTTTTTTAACTCAATTTTAACTCAACCCCACTATCATTCAATATTATCTTAGAGCATCCACAATGCTTTGGGTCTCTTTTTGTATATGTGGCATATAATTGGACTTGAGTCTTAAATGACATGGACAAACCCAAGTAAAAAAACTCAAAAACTTTGCAATGCAAAAATAAAAAGACTATGTCTAGCATACATGCCAACCAATAGAAATGCTCTAATATATTTTATTCATTAAAAAATAAATTAAATTAAGAACAAATGATGAGTGTTTGGGTTTGTACTTGGGTCCAAAATAGACCCAAGTGTGGACTTGGTCTCTTTTTTTCATTGCCACATAAGCTAGACCATGTCTACTTTTAATTGCATTGGGAAGTATTTTTTTATAGACTAAGTCTATTTTCCATGTGGCATGTGATTTTTTGTTAAGAGACCAAAGCATAAATAAATAGATTTAAGTCTATAATGACATGGGCAAGCTAAAAAATCCAAAATCTATCCAATGCAAAAAAAAAAGTACTAGGTTTAGAATACCTAACAACCAATAAAAATATAATAATAGTAAATGATTGTTATTGTAAGGTTCACACTTGGGTCCAAAATAGACCTAAGAGTAGACTTTGTGCCTTTTTTTTATTGCCACATAAGCTAGACTAGGTCCACTTTTAATTGCATTGTGAAATACTTTTTTATAGACTATGTCTATTTTCTACATGACATGTGATTTTTTTAAAGAGACTCAAAGCATTGTGGATGCTCTTATGATTTGTTAATATTACTCACGTGACACGTGCCCTCCTTTGTACAATATATATATATATATATATATATATATATATATACTAGTGGTCCTTTGGCTGTGCACGCACAGCCAGCCCAAGTTTAGTCTATAACTATGAAACAATGATTATTTTTGGCTCGGCCATAAAAAATGTTGGTCAAAATGTTAAACATTGTACATATATTTGCAAAACTCGAAGAACACACAAACATACATTTGCTAGCATTACTCAAAGTATTTTGAAATCACTTCATATGAATCCATCACAAAGATAGAAGTTACATGACATAACAAAGCACCCAACAATCACAAAATCGTCAAAAGAATATTTTGGGTCACCAAAAAATCCTAGAAAGTGCATAACCATTGACCTA